CACTGGAAATCACCGCAGAGAGCTTCCAAGCCATCAGATCATAAATGATCTGATGGTAGCGGTTGCAACAACAGTGAACAAAGTAACCCCTACATTTTCTCGAATAAACTCTACTTCTGTCAGCAGTGATCCTGACACCCTCCAGATACTCGGTGATTGAGGGGGGCTCCACCCAATGACATAATTGCACTACAGCAAGTAAAATGCCGAAAATCTTCTATCCAGTGGGCCTCTGGCCGACCCCACCCTCTTTTGGGGTTGGCCACACCCCCAAAGGACTGAAAAGATTCAGGAAGCTTTCTCTCTTTGCACGGGCATGGAGGGGAACAAAGATCTCCTTACTTTTTCGGGTAATACATGTAAAATACTGACCTTGATCACTAGTACTGCACTCCAGGATTTGGGTCACTCAACTGCCCCACAAACTCGTTTCTATCCTATCCCGTTGCTAGTGGGACCTTGCCCCTGGAGGTGGTCTCAAAAAGGGTCTGCCCGCGGCCACCTTCTGAGGCATTTGGGTACCGAGCCTCTCCAGTGTGACCCGAAAAATGACTCAATTTTTGGGATTTTGGGTCTTTTGGTCCTCGTGTGAGTATGCCCTCAGTCAGGTAAGTCCTGCGGTATCATGAAGGGTCGAATAGCAAGCAACCGCCCGTTGGCAGCCGAATGGTGAATGAATCCCTCCCTGAAACACTTTACACACACACACACACACACACGCACAAACACAAACACACACACACACACACACACACACACACACACACACACACGTCGTTGACGACTACCTATGCTCACAACGCTTACGCCCGACGTGACGTGCACGCACCTGATTGCATGACTACGCACGTGATTGCATATCATTCAATGAACACGCACGTGATTACTCGAGCGCATGGGCGCGTGCAGGAGAAGTGGATGCTACCCGACGACGTGATGATATGTATGTATGGATATGGTACACTCCAATGGCACCTAAGCGATCATACAAATGGGTATGCAAAAAATGGGTCCAGCAAGTGTCGGTATTGATTAGATGAGTGTTAAAGTGCAATGGCCTCACCAGCCAGGTGCGATTCACTACATGGATGCATACGCACGCCTGTTATCTATCAATCTATCAATACATTGTTTGCTGAATGGGAGGGAGTACCACCGGCACAGCTTGAACTGGCGCCGCCTCCACCCACTCGCCATTCCTCACGTTTTTATGGAGCGTTCTGTGCTCCTGGCACAGCGCACAGCTAGAGCAGAATGCATGCATGCACATATCGTTTGCTACGTGCCCCTGGATTCTGAACTT